CAAAAAAAGGCAGCAAGAAAGGGTTAAGGGCTCTCACCACCTCTGGGTACTGCCTACGCAGATGCTATACTGACCCTGCCCACAATACACTGAAGTTGTGTAAGTGTACTAGCACGCTCTAGAGTCAAGCTAGGTTTAGCTGGGGGTCAGTGCCACGCTCCTATAGTTACTTGTTTACCATTTCAGTTACTGAAATACTGTCTAAAAAGTTCTGAAGAAATACACAACAAAGCCCGAGTGCCAAAAGGATTAAGTGCCACAGACAGAATACCTTTTTGGGTAGTAGTCCTGAAAACTCTACTGTTCAATCAGCTGTTTAACTTCCCACATCCACATGCAGTAGATATTAAAACAAGGAATTAAGTTTTGATATCCTATAGACCATCTCCAAACACACGTTATCTACATAAACAACAAATTAGTTACATCTTAAGAGGAAAATTGGTTTTGCCTCCCAAATACATTAAATTTAAGATCTTGAAATAGCAGGAAACTTGATAGGTCTTGCATATACATTAACAGAGAAATATTTTAAAAGAAACTGATCAGAGGCATTTGAGACTACTCTGCAAACCTAGTCCTCCATCCTTGTGCTTGCTTTACAGACCACACACAAATGCAGCAGAAGAAACAACCTAAAATCATTTCTGTGACTTGAACAGGAATGCTCACATAATCACTGGAAACGCTCTTAATTGGTGTGGCTCAGTGGTGCACTTCAGAGTTGTTAGATCCTCTGCTGCTCTGGAACTCTTTTCATGTCCTGGCAATCACAGTCCAGCCAGCAGTTTGTTTATCATATTCAGTATGAGTTTCCGGATCTCCAACAAAGTGGTATTTACTCCGAGGCAGTGAAGACTGCAGTAATCCAATAAGTTCTCATTAGCCTAAAATGCAGAAACATCTGCTGGGGTCATGAGCTGCTTACTTGCTGTTGATGAGCAAAGGATCAGCTCCATTTGAAGCCAGTGTGAACAAAGAATTGTAGGGTTGGGGGGGAGTGGTGAAGAGACAAGCAGGCCTCGATTATCTCCTGGGCTGCAGGTCCACTACAGCGCACCACGGGCAAAGAGGGATGCTCCCTTACGGTGACCCTGTCGCAGAGAGCACAGGAATTACAGCAAAAAAATGCTTTGACTCGGCCCTCCTGAGCTGAGGTGGTCAAAACAGTCAGCCAACACCAGTGTAACTGAAGAGAATGTGGTCAGAGCTCCCCAAGAAACACCAGAATGCAAGCAGGGCAATCTGTGCAGTGCAAGCCTAGCTTAAAATGATCTTTGCCAATTGCTTTTTAGACAATTAAGAGAATTTTGCAGGGGACGAGTACTTACATTTCTGTGCTCCTCCCTTCCCCCCCAGGCTCTCAGACATAGCTGGCTCGTTTCACAGTTGCTTTCTGGTTTTGGAAGACAAAAAAAGCCCCCCCCCCCCTTCAAAAAAAAAACCCACCTTAGGACACATGAATGTTAACAATTGGTCAGTATGAGCTTCTGGCCTAAAAGATGAATACATAGGTAATAAGTACAGCACAAGTTCAGACAGAACATAAATCTACATTGATACAAGTTACAGAAGGGAGAACGCTCTTAATTCTAGGTTAAAAATAAAACCCAAAGAAACTGATAACCTGAATAAAAGGAGCCCTTAAGTTGTTTAGGACTCCAAGCGGATTCAGAGCATGTGTCCTTGTCAGAAAATAAGTGGAAAATACACAGTGGTGTCACATCTGTTTAGCTCCTGCTCCAGTGATTCTGCAGTTCTTTGTTGTTGTTTGTACAGTGTTAAATATGACAGCATCTAATGTCTGTCGTTATTTCAAGGTGGAGGAGCCTAAAACACTTCTGCAAAGAGCCAAAACAGAGCCACTTAGAAAGAATATTCAGAAAAATCAAGATGACAAAGTCTCAGTTCAAAATAGTTTAAAACCCTTTCCTGGGGAGGCTGAGCTGCTTTATCTAACACTTGTTCTCCCATTTGTCCAAAGAATTACACAAGTGCTCAATTTAAGGAAAAGAATGGCCAGAATGCTCAAATCAATGCCTGTGATTCTTCTGAAACAATGAGCGCACATCCCCAAGCACTTTATTGTTTTGTACACGCAGTTGGCCTTTAGCTCCAGGACTCCCACTTTGCCTTAGGCTTGTTGTATAGATAATGACTGCCACCTGCAGCAGCAAGAATGAACTACTTCCCCAAAAGATTTAGAGCCTTTAATCGTGATCACAGCAAGCAGAACCTTTCTCCACCACCCTTCTTCAGGGAAGAGAACTAATAGCATTCCACTTTATAGTAAAAGTTTGTATTGCTGTCTGTTGCTCAAGTAACATTTGGGGGTGTATATATACACACACACACTAGTATCTCCATGGTAGAAAGTCACTTGACTGAAGAGGATGGGTCTAATTTAAAAGCATTTCTTAAAAAAAAATTTTTTTTTAGACCAGCAACGAGGTCTACCAACAAGAAATCCTAGGAAAGACATTCTGACTCGTGTCTGTGCAGAGAACAACTATCAAGACACTATAGACTTGATTTTCATTTCCTCCCTCCCCCTCATATTTAAGAAGACGCCTCTTAACTTTCCACGTCTCAGAATGACACACGTACAATAAGCAGGTTAAAGGCATGAGGACGAACATCCCAGTAATTATTCAAACCTAGGAAGAACAGTTGTTTGACCAGCAGTTTTATCATATAGGAGCCTTTCTACCATGATCTCCATCCACCAAAAATAGACTACTAATCTGCAGCTAACCTACGACTCGATTGCTTAGCAAAGTTCCCCACCCAGTGGCCAGCTCTGTAGGTGCAGCTCATGTTCCTGGCCCAGAGCGTGATCCCGCTGCGTGCAGCCCCAATGACGCACACAGGTGAACTATTAGGTGCAGTTCATCTAACATGTTTGAGGAAAAAGAAGCAACAGATGAATATCTTAAAACAACACCTTGCTCTCCTACTGGCTCATGGATAAGCTGCTGCGAAAAAAATGACACTGATATTATATACGAGGATGGCCTTAATAGTTTGTTATATATCGACCTCTCATCCAGCGCACCTCACGTCTTACTGATCCAGTTACTAGAGCGTAATTTACTCCTGATTTTTAATAAAAGGAGACAAGAATCTAGTTAGACCCTTAGTAATACCAGGAAGAAAGCCTGAATAGCACTTTAAGGAGTGCAAGGAGAATGCTCCAAGTATTTTTTAAGCAGGCCTCTCGTGGTTTAACCCCAGTCAGCAACTAAGCACCACACAGCCGCTCACTCACTGTCCCTCTCCCGGTGGGATGGGGGAGAGAATCGGAAGGGGAAAAGTAAGAAAACTCGTGGGTTGAGATAACAACAGTTTAATAATTGAAATAAAATAAAATCATCATAATAATATTGTAGTGAAAAGGAAAACAACAACAACAAAGAGAGGAACAAAACCCAGGAAAAACAAGTGATGCAACCGCTCACCACCTGCCGACTGATGCCAAGCCGGTCCCCGACCAGCGATCGCTGTCCCCTGGCCAGCTCCCCCCAGTTCATATACTGGGCATGATGTCATGTGGTATGGAATAGCCCTCGGGCCAGTCGGGGTCACTGTTCTGGCTGTGCCCCCTCCCAGCTTCTTGTGCCCCTGGCAGAGCAGGGGAAGCTGAAAAGCCTTTGACTGGTGTAAGCACTGCTTAGCAACAACTAAAACCTCACTGTGTTATCAACATTATTCTCATCCCAAATCCAAACCACGGCACTACACCAGCTACTAGGAAGAAAATGAACTCTATCCCAGCTGAAACCAGGACAAGGCCAAAAAGCTTTATAGACACAGCTTAAGCCAGAAACCACTATGCAGACAATACAAAGCAAAAAATTTGAAAAACCATCACAGAAAGAGGTTCCACAGGTGAAAAATACAGGATACAGCACATCTTTCAGAGAGAAATGCATTCCGTGTATAAAATGGAAAGTACGTTGAACAAACCTGCCACATCTGGCG